GAAGTACAAGGATTCGGAGACGGCTTTCGTCGAGGAGGTCCGTGTGATTGGCAATGAGACGGGTAACGAACCTGCCCAGACGATCTCCATCAAGCTTAGAGTTCCTCGATCACCCGTCATCGGTGACAAGTTCTCTTCTCGTCATGGACAGAAGGGTGTTGCCTCCCAGAAGTGGCCCGCCGTCGACATGCCTTTCTCCGAGTCTGGTATGCAGCCCGATGTTATCATCAATCCGCACGCTTTCCCCTCCCGTATGACCATCGGTATGTTCGTCGAGTCACTTGCCGGAAAGGCAGGTGCTCTTCACGGGCTGGCCCAAGATTCGACACCATTCAAATTCAATGAGGAGAACACTGCTGCCGACTACTTCGGTCATCAGCTGATGAAGGCTGGGTACAACTACCACGGTAACGAACCCATGTACTCTGGTATTACCGGAGAGGAACTGGCAGCGGACATCTACGTCGGTGTGGTTTACTACCAGCGTCTGCGTCACATGGTCAACGATAAGTACCAGGTGCGAACAACGGGACCAGTCGTCCCTACTACTGGCCAACCTATCAAGGGCAGGAAGCGTGGTGGTGGTATTCGTGTGGGAGAGATGGAGCGTGACGCGCTGCTCGCTCACGGCACGGCCTTCCTGCTGCAGGACCGTCTGCTCAACTGCTCTGATTACACACGATCCTGGATCTGCCGAAGCTGCGGCTCGTTCCTCTCGGTCCAGCCGACGGTTTCGCCTTTCGTTGGTAAGAAGAAGCAGGTCACGACAGTTCGCTGTAGAAATTGCGCAGTCCCTATTGACGCCGGCGATGCGGAGAGCGCCGCCAAGGTGGAGGGCGAGATATGGGAGGATGGACAGGGCAACCAGTGGGTTGGAGGCGAGAACACCACGGTTGTTGTCGTCCCAGGTGCGCTCAAGTTCCTGGATGTGGAACTAGCGGCTATGGGTGTCAAGCTGAAGTACCGTGTCGACTCTCGCGACGCACCTCGCAAGGGCCCACTGAAGCCCATGTCATCATTACCTTAGATGGACGGCGTTTGATAGAGAAAGGATGGGGGGCTACCTGGTAATTCAATGGCGATTGGCAATGCAATTATGGATCAAAGCTCAGTACACGACTGCTTCGTGATTTGATTAGATGGACCTCATCGACATCTTCCAACCATGGTACGCAATACATCTCAGATCTTGGTTTCGTCAACAACAGCTGGGACCAAAAGACCGAGATGTTTGGCAAACAGCAATACGGTGCGAGCATGAACGAATGGATGCCAAGGCAGCGTGACATCTGTTTGTACCAGATACGAGGGAGTTTGTGTGGTGCAAGTGACCGAGTCTCGCAAACATTCGTGTCTATGTCGTACAAACAACGTCGCTGTCCGTGATGTATGGGGCTCAAGTGTCGGTCACGACCTGAGCCTGGAAACCCAGCGTGCTGTGATGCTAGCGTACATGCGGGCAGCGATATACATGAGGGGAACATGGTTCTTCGGGAGTATGCAGACAAGCAAGGATACTTGTCGCGAGCGTTATTTCGTTTTCGGGTCCCCACACACTCTGAGTACGACGGCATCTGCCTTCACTGGTAGGCCAGCGTGTCACCGAGATGAGGACTCGATGGGAAGAGTAGGCCAAGACTTTTGGCGTTAAGACAAGAGATCCTGCCCCGTTTGAACCCTTCCTTGACGACCAGTTAAAGCTACCACGTAGCCTCTCTTACCTTATGGATAGATCCCCTCACCTGACTCTTGTGTGGGACGTTGCGCTGTCTTTTTGGTGAACGCCATAGCTTGTACCCTTCAAAGAGTCTCAGCTGAGTTGTCTTAAGCAAGATGCACCTTCTGCGAGAATTGACTCAATGCCTGGCTATGAAGGTATACCACAGATGGCGGGAACCGTGCCTTCCCATGTCTTCTTACCACACATGTGGGACCCATCATTGCTCTTGCCTGTTACTTGGTAACTTTTAACACTTCGACGCTTCCTGACTTACTTCTTAGCTGAAGACAGACTCACTTCTTCGGTGAGGAAGCAGCTGCGGATAAATCACCCACCTATCGCATACGTCAGATCATCACGGCTATGCAGCGTGCCTCGCGCTCTTTGTTTTGTTTGTCGGTCATTTAAATATTCTCGGTCTCGGCTTCTGTTTCTTTTCCAATTATAGCACCCTCTCACTCTCGGCCGTCTTTGCTTCCACGTCTTTACCTCCCGCCACACCTGTAATGACGGATTTTGCAGAAGTTATGACCAGAAAACTTCCTTGATCTCGAACTGAAAGCAAAAGAATTCCTTGTCTTAATTCTACCTGACTCCCTCCCGGCACTCGTGTTGCTACAGAAGACTTCCGGTCGACTTGAACATCCTACCTTACGCTACGTCCCTCTTTGGTCCATCTCTATTCACTCCCCTCGCCCCCAAAGATTGAATACTACATCCGACTTTGACATTTAATCTCACACTTTTGCGTCCCTACTGGCTGGCTGCCGTCGAGGGCGGATGGTGATGGCGTCTCGAATCGCCCTGTTACTGTCCATACTCGTCGTCGCCACGATCGTATTGGCCTCACCCTATTCACCGACATACGATTATGGCTTCGACATAAGGAAGGTATCCAAACGCCAGGCGGAGCAACCCATCATTGTCGCCAAGTTGCCCTCTGTCAACGGAACCGTTCCTGTTCGGCAAGAGATCAGGCAGATGAAACAGAACCCCTTTAAATGGAACCTGTTCCTCCTTGCATCCAGTATGTTACAGTACACGGACCAGGACGAGGAGCTATCGTGGTACCAAATTGCTGGTAAGCATCTTGGTTCAATGCAAGTAGACACACTTTTGATCTTTGGCAGGTATTCATGGTGTTCCCTTTATCCCTTGGAATGGCGTTCCAGGTGTGGCAGGGGGCGAGGACAGAGGCTATTGCACGCACATGTCTGTTCTGTTTCCATCATGGCATCGTCCGTATCTTGCCCTGTACGAGGTCAGATATCACCCTGTTCTCGTTATTGAGTTTGCGTATGTAGGTCACAATTACTAACATCACAACAGCAAGTTCTTTTCCAGCTCGTCCAGCTGATTGCCTCATGGTTCCCAGACCCTACCGAACGTGTCTTCTACCAAGCTGCTGCAGACGACTTTCGCATTCCGTACTGGGATTGGGCTACGCCGCCGCCACTGGGAGAAACGACTTACTTGCCCGAATTCGAGGAACCCGGGATCCAAGTGAACGGTCCGAAAGGATGGCAGTTCATTGCAAACCCTCTGTATAGTTACAAGTTCCGGCCGCTTGATCCAGATGTTTTTTCTCAAGGCGACGTAAGCCATGGCACCCAGTCAGTGTGCGAGCATATCTACTGACAGCACAAGTTTCCGCATTGGACACAGACTATGAGAGCGCCCTTCGAGACATCGGACAATCACAGCGTTGCACACGCGATTGAGCATGCGAGGCCAGCGCTTCAACAACGACTGTACACACTTTTGTCGAACTACAAGGACTACGGACCTTTCAGCAACAAATACTGGGGCATCGCAACAAACCAATCCCAATATGACTCCATAGAGTCGCTTCACGATGCCATGCATGTCCTGGTTGGCAACCGAGGCCATCTCTTCTATATTCAATACTCGGCATTCGACCCTGTTTTCTTTCTCCACCATACGATGGTAGACAGAATCGTTGCAATGTGGCAAGTCTTGTATCCAACGTCATGGGTATCTCCCCAAGTCGCAATGGAACACTCCTTCACAATGCCGCCAGGATACGTTCAGGATACATTTACGGAACTTAAGCCCTTCCACGCAGATACAAACGGCACTTTCTGGAATTCGGAAATGGCAAGAGATATCTTGGCCTTCGGATACTCGTACGCTGAGATCAGCTCTAGTCCTGGGAATGATCTGGCCGAAGACCAAGCGCGCCTCATAGAAATCATCAACCGGCTTTACGGGTCTTCTAGCCCCTCGAATTTGGCCCAAGAGCGGGAAAGATCCAACGCGGGGATGGATAAGAGCGCTCTTGCGCAGGCTCCGAAAAGGACTACCCCAAGTAGCCATGTCATGGACTTGTCGACGAATCCAGAACTCGTTGGCAAAGTGGTTACGGAAGATAACATATACACCGAATGGGTTGCCAACATACATGTTAAAAATGGGGCTCTGAATGGCTCTTTTGTTGTTCATTTCTTCCTCGACGATGCCCCCAAAGACATCAATTCTTGGACGGCTGCACCAAATTTTGTGGGATCAATGCCGGTATTTGCGATGAAGAACATGAACTCGGGTAGCCATATATCCGGGACTGTCCCTTTGACGTCCGCTTTGATGCACCTGGTGTTAGCAGGAGCCCTCTCTGGACTTGATCCTGAGGACACTGGGCCTTACCTTGAGGAGCACCTCCGAGTTCGTGTGGTCGGCGAGGATGGAGTTGAGAAATCCGTAAACACCATTGGAAGTTTACACATTCAGGTTGCGAGCTCACAAGTGAGAGCAGCAAGGAACAATTCTGAGCTCCCAAGTTGGGGTGCCGTGGTGGAAAGGTTTGTGTTGCATCGCGGTCAAGGACATCCGTACAAACATATTATGGCTGGGTAATGAAGAGAGTGGAACCCGGGTTTCCTGATACATGTACCTACTCAGACGTAGATGTGCCTTTTAATGTGTAATGCGCCGCGACACCGATGTCGGGGGGTACACTTTCGATATGTGTTCATCTGTTTGCCGTTGTTCAAGAGAAGTAATCCGAGATTGGAACTTTGAGAAAGCCCATAAGTCATCTAGAGAAGGTCACGTGAGTAATGCTGGTTGGCGTGGCAGAGGTCTGCACCCCAGGCCACGGTCCCACTTCCAGATACGGGATAGGAACTTTTCCGAAGCTTCAGCCTTCTGTGACCTTGGGGCAGTCAGGTTTACGTCCGAATCGCGACAATCTAGCATCCAGCCGACTTCTCATCTCAACGAACGACACACGCGACGAATCGACATCGCCGCCGCCGCCAACATGAAGCTCGTCAGGTATGTCAATCATTTCCCACGCTTGCCTTCATACTTGGTGCGAGTGCTGAGCTCTCTCGCTGTCAAGCCCGACGTAATCGAGGCCAGAGGAGGAGCTGACATGAATTTCCCACAACCAGATTTTTGATGAAGTGCGCCAACGAGACTGTGACAATTGAGCTCAAGAATGGTTAGCAAACAATACCCCATCTCTTTTTTCAATCAACAACGCAGTGTAGTGCAAGAGATGCTGTCACTCAGGCATCAGCTAAAGCGTTGGCAATAAACAGGCACCATCGTCCACGGCACCATCACCTCCGTCTCGCCGCAAATGAACACGGCGCTACGCACGGTCAAGATGACGCCCAAGGGTCAGGACGCCGTCTCTCTCGACACGATGAACATCCGCGGCTCGACCATCCGATACTTTATCTTGCCCGACTCGCTGCCGCTAGACACGCTGCTCATCGACGACGCGCCGAAGCCCAAGAACAAGGCGCGCAAGGAGGCCGACCGCGGCACTGGCGCACGCGGCGGCAGGGGCGGTCCTAGGGGAAGGGGAAGGGGCGGCGGACGTGGTCGCGGTCGCGGACGGGGTTAAGTTGGCCAGGGGTTACCTTCGAGCAGGATGCGTCATTTCCCCCGGGGAGGGGGTTTGGCATCGGCACATCCGAGGTTCGACGGGTGCCGAGGAAGTCTGTTATTACGCCTGGGAAAAGTCGAGAAGGCCGATGGCTGGAGATGACCTGGAGGGGGAAATTATTGCGGCCCCTCAGATACGACGAAACCCGCAATCACTTTTGGGCCTTGCACTTGTTACCACTTGTTACCACAAAAAAAAGTACCTTATGCATCAAGACGAACCGGATGCTCTTCAGGCGTTTGGGTAGGGGGAGGTAGGGAAATCAAGAAATCAATTCGAGCATAAAAGAGAGAACTCTAGCAAGTCGGTGGAGGCGACGGATGTCACTCCTGTTCAGGGTAACTGCATCTTGCATACGCGCGAATAAAAGAAGTCCAGACGAGAAGCCCAAACCAGATTCACATTCCCAGTTTACGGATCGTGCCGCCTTTCGTCCCTCCACACCCTGATGATCTGCAACTTCTCCCATCCAGCCTTCTTCCCGCTCTCCCCCACCGTGGCAACCCTCCACCCAGCCCCAAAGCCCTCGATTCGGGCCTTGACCTCCTCCGGCCTGTTCTGCGTGCACAACAAGATGTAGGCACATCCCCTCTCCGACAACACCCTTGGCAGCGTCTCGATCAGCCGGTCCGTTGTCTCCATCCCGTCCCGCCCGCCGGCATACGACAGCGAAAGCAAATACGAGTCCTCGTCAAATGTCGTCTTTTCGCCGTTCGCGACCAGCGCGGCAGACGCCTGTGCAGGAAGCTCGGGGGATGGAACGTAGGGCGGATTGAAGATCAGCACGTCAACGCTCTGCTCCCTCAGCGGGGCCGTGAGGTTGCCCATGGCGGCACCGAGCCAGGCCGGCGAGGAGGTGGTCGGGTTCTCGGCGCGAGCGCGGAGGACGGTGTAGTCCGTGGCCTTGCAGGCGTACCCGTTGAGGTCGACGCCCAAGGTGAGCACGCGAGCGGTGCCAAAGAGGGTGCGGGCGTGCGCAGCGATGAAGGCGATCACGACGCCGGAGCCGGTGCCGATCTCGACGACGAGGGGCGCTGCTGGCGTGGGCAGCGACGAAGCGCCGAAGCGGGAGGTGAGGAACTCTGTCTCGGAGGGGGCGGAGAGCGTGTCCAGGAGGAGGTAAGAGTCCTCTGCCGGCTCGTAGACCCGCTCGAAGGGGACGTGCGATGTGTCCGGCGTGGGGAGCATGGTCGGAACCTAGAATAGTGTTAGTTCTGTCGTGTCCAATCCGAGTGGGCACTGACTTGCGAGGGTGCTCGGTTTTGGTGAGACTTTCCAGTCCTGGTGCACCCCCGCGCTGGGTGGTATCTTGAATGGTATACTCTGGGGGCGGGCTATACCTTATACCAACGAGCCGGCAGTCAAATCTGTCTACCTTCTTATGAGTTTCAGGGTTGATGCTTGGGAGTTGACAGGGTTGAAAAGCGAGTGAGACTCGAATTCTCAGAGGCGTGCATTCTGATGAAATGTGGGGTTTGCCAACAAACATCATCAACCATGATCAAGCTCACCCAATACCAAGTTACGGTCGGGCACGCATCACACAGCCACATACGGAGCCCCATTCATATATCGGAGGTAGCAGCAAACCATCTGTTCATCAATTATTAGATTTTAATAATTATACACCTATTGTTACTTGCTTGATATGTATCACCATCATCAACAGAGATGGCCAAGCCTAGTCAATGATGCCGTTGGGCAAGAAACTGACATAGTCCAAGGGCGCTACCTCGGGACCGTCGGGCGTTCCGACAATCTTCAGAGTGTCGCCCTTGGTGATCTTGACACCGGGAAAGTTGATGCGGATGGCCGAGTGCCCATCCAGGAACTCGGACGGCCAATGGCCTAGCTTCTCTTCACTGTTACCCCTCCACTGACCGATGACCTTGTCGTTGATGTAAGCGACGTACGAGCACTTGCCACGGATGACATCAAAGTAGTTGACGGCGAGCGTGTACGTGCCGGTCTCGAAACCGACAACCGTCGAGGCTGTTCCCGCCGTCGTGTTGGAGGTCGTCACGATGGCCTTGTACCCAGACGCCGCCTCAAAGGGGTCGACGTTGACGACCTTGTACCCCTCGAGGTTCATGTGCTCGGCCTCGACCCGGTACTTGTAGTTGCCCACGCGACCAGCCTCGTCGGGAATACCCGACATGTTCCAGTAAAAGTTGTTGATAGAGTCACGCCAGACGAGCGAGTGGCCGGCCTGATATTGCAGCTTGAAGAGCACGTGCTCATAGCGCTCCTCGTCGATGAGACCCTTGAGGGACTCCCATTGCGGCACGAACGTCTGGGCCGTCGCCGATCCTTCGTAATGCGCGTCGTAGAAGTGCTGGATGACGGTTTTGCCGCTCTTCAGCACGTGCGTATAGGGCACGTGGTGGAACCACAACAGGAGGTCATCGGGGGTCGTCTCGATCTCCTCGTAAATGGCCGCCACCTCGGGAGGGTACATTCCAGCGTTGCCCGTGCCGTTCTTCACTGTACGGTCCATGCCAATGCTGTTACCATCGGCGCGGGTCCACTGGCCCCAGCTGTTGCCGTCTTGGCTTCTCGGGCTACGCTTGAAATCAGTCTCGCGGACGACGTACGAGGGGGGACAAGGGGATTGTTTACCTAGGACCGTAGTGGGCGTATAGAATGTCGGTTAGGGTTTGGATGCCAAGGTTACCGCTGTAATTCTCGTAGGCGGGCCAGCTCTCCATGGACATGCTGGTGATAGTGTCGACGACCTCGCGGTTGAGGCCAAAGGTCAGACGCGACCAGTCCTGAACAATGGCGACAACATCATCTGTGGGGTTCCACGCCAGTCTGCCGTAAGCGTAGAGGTTGGACATAGCGAGATGGCTTCCGAGCCAGGTCGAGTTGGCGCCGACGTTGATGACGCCAGCATAGCCACCAAGAGGCCGGCCGAGGAGCTTGCCGGACAGAATGTCGCGGACAGGAGAAGGCTGGCCGTCAATCCGCAGGTCAAAGTCAAGGATCGTCTTCCAGAGAGGAGGAAGGTAGACCAAATGGTCCTGCTGGCCGAGATACTCTTGAGAGATCTGCAGCTCAATAGCCATGCTGGTCTCCTTGAGATTCGCGAAAAGGGGTGACACGGGCTCCCTGACTTGGAAGTCGATGGCGCCATACTTGATCTGAACGATGACGTTGTCATCGAACTGGCCGTCGAGGTGCTTGAAGAATTCTACCTGGGCGTTGGCGCGGTCAGCGTGCCAGTCAGACTCGCTCAGGGTGAGATGGTCGTAAACGAAGGCTCTGAACATGACGATGCCCTTCTTGGAGCCGTGGTTCTTGAGCTCTCTGGCGAAGAGATTGGCGCCATCAGCCAGCGTCCTGTTGTAAGTCAGGGGGCCGGGCTGGCCCTCAGAGTTGGCCTTGACGAGGTAACCGGCCATGTCAGGGATGCGAGCATAGAGCTCGTCCGTGATGCGGCCCCACCAGGCAATGACTGTATCGTCGAGGGGGTCGAATGTCGAGAGCCCACCGTAAGTCTGGGGCGAGGCGAAATTGAGTGAGATACCGACTTGGACACCCCAGGAACGGAAAGCATCGGCGATCCTCTTCAGCCCATCCATGTTATCCGGGGAGAGAAGAATGGGGTTGGCGTTGACGTTGTTAACGATGATTCCGTTAATGCGAGCTGAAGCCAACAAGCGGCCGTACTGAGAGACGCGGGTCATGTCGGTGACGACCTTGAGGTTCTCGAAGAAGATGGAGACACCTCCGTACTAGTCAAGTCAGACGTAAGTTCCATCAAAGGAATGTCGAGGGAGAGGATGTAACTTACACCGCGCTCAATACTGCCGTGAGTTCCCGTGCCGTCCATGTTGTCCCATTGGTTTGCCCATCGGACGGGAGCAGAAGGATTGGTCGCGTAGGTAGTTTCGGTGAAGTTTCCCTGCGCCAACAAGCTTAGGTACTCGAAGGCGCCGTAAAGAGTGCCCCTCTCGTTCTGACCCAGGATCTTGACACCACCATCCTTGACACTTAGCCAGAAGCCATCTTCAATTAGGTCAGCCTCGACTCCTTCACTTCCACAGGCTGCGATGTAGTCGTCGAGAGTGGCAACGACGACGGAAGAGTTCGCGCAAGGGTCTTCGCCGAGCGAGACCTCCTTGCCGAAAATGCCGTGGTAGCCCTTTGTCAACTCGGACAAGGCAGATGAGATTGGGCCGTTCTCAGTAGCATTGATACCGACAATGGTGGAGGGCAAGGAATTAGCGACGCCGGCGGACTTGCAGTCGGGCAGCCTGGCATATCGTAACCAGCCTGCGAGGCCGTCCTCGGCGATGACAAGGCCGAGGGGCGCAATGAGAAGAAGTTTCCACATGATTTCGCTACTGGCGGAAAGAGGTGCTGCTGGCGAGAATAACCAGTTACAGAAGCACTTGCTTCTCAACACGCTTCAAGGTAGGATCAGAAGGGAAACGGCTTATTAAAAAGAAAACCACCTCACCACAAGCGCTAAGGCAGATGTGGTTCCCAGATCTGCGGAAGCCGCAGCAATGGGAAATTCTTCCACGACTTAGACCTTGTTGGTTCCCATCCTACGATCACTCATGAGAACGCCTTCAGGGCAGAGGGCTGGTAGCAACGATGGAGCCGTCGCATTCAGGCTAAAAGTGCGCTCGACATATTCAGCCATGGCTCGGGTGTGGGGAGTGGTGAGAGTACCGGTACGGATTTCACACAGGCACATAGTGATGATTAGACTCCAACCCAATCTGCGTGCAAGTATCTCCAGACGGGATCCATCGGGGTTGTGACCCTTCATTCCGAGTCTAAACGGCCTCAGTGCGGAGAAATTGGCACTAGCGAAGGGATACAGGAACGGGAGGAGAGAGAGAGAGAGAGAGAAGCTCGAATTCCTGCAAGAGGAGAGAATCTGCCGAACTGGGGGCAATGGGAATTGCTTGCTTGCACCTCGGCTGTGGTCAATTGCAGAGAGC